TGTCTCCCTCCCGAAACACCCCTCCCTCTAACTCCTCCCAGATCTAACCCTTCCATTCCCTTCCCAACTTCATGTCCTCTTTTTTTTGGTCTTTTTGAGACAGGGTCTCCCTATAGCCCCAGCTCTCCTGGAACTCACTATGTAGATCAGGCTGGCCTTAAACTCACAGCGATCTGTCTGCCTCTGCCTCCCTAGTGCTGGAACTAAAGGCATGCACCCTGACGTCTGGCCAGAATTTGATGTTTTAATAGAATTCTGAAAAACTAATTTTTGGCCTATTTTTTCATTGTACATACTGAAAGAGAAAATCAGTATATCAATTAATTTCTATATTCTGTCAACAACTTTTAATTTATCTCTATTAGATTCTTTGCCAAGTAATGCTCTGTTGTTCATTAGCACATGATGTGAGTCAGGAGTAAAAGCACTGCATCTTCTATTACTCTCATGGAAATATTTTGAATGATATCACTTCTCGGTCTTATGTCTAGGGCTGAGTGTAGAAATATTATTAATGTCTTCATTCATTTAAGCAACTATTATGCTTGTCCTTGAGAGCAATAATAATTCAAGATATATGAATTTCACTAAGAAATGGTGTGGTCTGTGAAATTATTTTTGACTATAAAAGACCTACAATTTAATTAAAGATATTTTCTCCATTGTCAATATGGTTATGGTTTCTATCCTGAATGTGTTACCCATGAAGTGATCCATAAGCAGACAGTCAAAATGATTTTATGTATGTTTTCTATAACAACAGCATTCTCTTTTGCTTGGTGAAAACTTGTATCCGAGTATCTAGACTTCTGATAAAGTAGAAAGGAGACTGTAGGAAGTTGTGTCACAGTCAGGCAGAGACACATCCTATGCTGTAACACAACTCTGATGAGTAGCATGTGAATAGCACACACCTACAGATGCATCACCTCAAACTGTGACCAGATAAATGTGTGACCACTTGGGTAATTTTCAACATTCATTACAAAATCATAAGATACAGAAGATGAAAGCATCATAGTCCCTCAACTTTGAACTAAAGTGAAGGACAATCTCTAATGATGAGAACATGGGCCATCAGGGAGCAGTGAGGAGGGGCACGTTTAGCTGACAGGTTTGGATTAGCAGTTGGTATATACTATCTGCACATGAACACACGTGACCAGGTCTGACACTTGCTATAAAGGGTCTGCTTTTCTTGTCTTCCAGTGTGATGAATTCATGATAAAATCTCAGCTGGTGCCATATGCTGAAAACCTGTGTTGGTCAACAGTCCTTTTTATCTCTGCATACACATTTCCAAAAGGATACTTGATTTTAAAAGATTCTATGTTATTTGTAAATTTTACATATTAGAGACAAGTAAATATTTGAAAATAAATCACGAATTCATTGTGAATGAAGTGCATGTGTTGTAATGCAAAATCACCATAATGATTAATAAAGCCTTTGACTATGAATGATATGAGATGCTACTGCAGATCAATGTGTGAAAGCTTTTTAATGTCTTCTTGGTATAACACCCCCTTAGTTCAAGTGCTTACCTCTATACTGTCATTATCTAAAATATAATTCATCAACATCTGGGTCCATGAAGATGTTCACACTTGTATGTGATTTATTCCTCTGGCTTCATGACATCAGAACTACCTTTTCTGCTTCTGCAGTGCACCTCTGAATTTACTTGGTATGCATTGAATTAATTCAAAATAAATTTCATTATGTGAACTGTTTACTTTTATAGTAAAAAATTTAGGCCCTTAGGAAAATAGTAAACAAGTAATAATTAAGAAAATTAACAATAAAATTTCATGTTTCCTTGAATCAGATAGTATAGTTTATAAATATAATGGTTAACATGAGAGAGTAATACACTTCGTATCTCATGAACCATTGAATATCCTTGTAATGCAAAATGCAAAAATTATCCAATTCAAACAGGATAGACACTTGGAGAAGACAGAGGACATCTAAAGAAATGTTATTACATACTAGACAGGTTAAACTTAGGGCCTTCTACACAACACAAGTTATCTACATTACACTATTTCTTTATTTGTTAATTCATACTCAAGTTTGCCTCCATGGACAATTCTTCCATCCACCTATTTGTTCAAGTCATGGTTGCTTTCTGTTACTCAAACCCTGTATCTAGGAAGTCATTGAGTACTGCCCATTATATCTCTCAATAGTATAAAAGGCAGTGCTTAACATTTTTAGAGTAAAATCATGAACCTCAGAAGAACTCATAGAGTAGATAATATGCATTATAAATTATATAACAT